CAAAGAGCACCCAGAAACACACGACCTCGAGGATGCGGTGCCGGCAGACATTAATTTCGATCTAGTCATAAAAATTAAAGTACAATGTTTCGCCTATGTAATCAATTTATTATTAAATGAAATTGTTTATTATTTATTCATTATTATACAATATGTTATTTATTAAATATTAATAAAAAATAGTTCAAAGAAGGTTGTAGAGCTATTGGAGCCCCTCCTAAATTAGGATATAAACATAGGAGAATCAGTTAGGGAGTTAGTTCTTTGTTTAGTTAGGATTATTTTATATAAATAGGGAGTGAATAGAGGAAACATTGTGAATAGAGTAGTGATTCAATTGTGAAAGGACAAAGAATAGTTATGTAAATCATTTTGGTATTTTAGATGAATTCTTAGCGGCAGAATACCAACTTCCGAACAAGTATATACGAGCAGGGTCATCCAATCCCAGATTTTAACCATTTTCCTTTGGTTATGGTCAAGTGCTTCCCGTAAAAAGTATAGTAACGGGGGCATTAGTTGCATCTCAAATGTCCTCGGTCTTCCACATAGCCTGCAACTTCCAGGGTTTATTTCACCAGCTACAGCTAAAATTGGTTTGCTGCCATACGATGCATAAGTAACTGAGGAGAGGAAAAATATTGGAGGCAATTTTTTTTTTCTTCATTTAGAAGCCTTCGTTATGTTGCTTTCGTGAAATTGAGAACTTGACCTGTAGTTGTATTATGCAGAATTTTTTTAAGTATGTTAGTTAGACATGTAATGATTTCTAAGAAATGATGCAGGTCGAGTTTTTTATTTTAAGGCTTTCTCGAAATAGTGGTGTGCTTGGACTTGTATGTACACCTTTCACCTCCCAGATTTTCCCTATGCATACATGTGAAGGCAGAAGATCTAACTGGAAAACATTTCAACCTTTCACCTCCCAGATTTTCCCTATGCATACATGTGAAGGCAGAAGATCTAACTGGAAAACATTTCAACCCCCTCCCAGATTTTCCCTATATGCATACATGTGAAGGCCGAAGATCTAACTGGAAAACATTTCAACCCGATATCAGAAAGAGATGTGCAGGCGGAAGGCTTTGTGAAAAACAATTCATAAGATCAATCAGACGAGATATATCCGCACAATTCTTTCCACCTGTAACAAATTACTTTGACATTACAATTTAAAAGATAAAATTTTCTATCCAACTGCAAGAAAGTACTTAACAACATAATAATTTGAAAAGACAAAAATTTAGATGCATGAAACACTCAAGAAAGTCATACAGTGAAATGAACAACATACTATGACATCACTGTAACCATTTGCCTTGATTTATTAGTTGAACCTCCATCTCAAATATGAAATGGCATGGAACTGAACATAGAAAGAAGAGGTTCTCCATCTCAAATATGAAATGGCATGGAACTGAACATAGAAAGAAGAGGTTCTCCATCTCAAATATGAAATGGCATGGAACTGAACACTCTCATGGTATACTTCTTTTGTTATTTTTGCAATAATTATAAACCCTCTCAATTAAGACTTATGAGTCACGGACACACGACATATCAACACCGGTAATCACAAGGGTCAGTTCCACTCAAGAGAACAAACCCTCTTAATTATAAACTCGTTCTTTTGTTATTCTTGCAATAATTATAAACCCTAAGACCTATGAGGCATAGAAAGACCTATGAGACACGCGACACATCAACACCGGTGCAGTATTACTCAAAATTATTCGAAATAAGAGAGTGAAATGGAAATAACCTTTGGAAAAGGGTTTGAGATGAATCTCCACCATCAAAAGTGTCTTTCAATTGGGCTTCTCAAGCTGATAAACATAACATTGCCGAAAGTGCTACCTTGGAATCAACATCAGGAGGAGGGAGGTTGCAGTTATCGAAATCCCATCCTCTAACTTTGGGCGACTCTTGGCCACCGTGACGCTTCCAGTGAGAATACGTAGCAGGAGAAGACCCGAACTTACAGAGTTGAAATCGAACAAGATTCTTTCGGAGAAGATGGTTCATCGTTGGAAACAGAAATGGATGTCGTCGTGGTTGTTTGTGGCAGCTGGGAGAGTTTTTCGGAGAAGATGGTTCATCTTTGGGAACAAGATGCCGCCCTAATTTGGATTTCGTACGAAAAACCCGCGAAAAATTTGGTAAGCCAATCAAAAACTATGGTATGTATTTTTATATGTATTTTCAAAAATATCGATGTTTGACAAATTTTACCGGGTTTTTTCAAAAACTCTAGAAAATATTTGAATTTTTCTATAACCTTAAAAAATATGAGTGTTAACTTTCAATGGTTGAGATTTTGCCGATACTTTTGTATAGTTGTGATTGTATCGACAATTTTGTGTGGTTCATAATGATTTAAACGTGTGTCGCGAGATGACAAAACAGCCTCGCGACACACACGTTTAAATTATTATGAACCACACAAAATTGTCGATACAATCACAACTCTACAAAAGTAGAGGCAAAATCTCAACTATTGAAAGTTCTCAACTATTGAAAGTTAACACTCATATTTTTTAAGGTTATAGAAAAATTCAAATATTTTCTAGAATTTTTGAAAAAACCCGGTAAAATTTGTCAAACATTTTCGCGCAAAAGAGAAAAATTTATTAATAAAAAATAAAAAAAATATTTTTAATATTAAGAAAAATTAGAGGTGTCACGTAAAACTCCATATTAGATTAGAGCGCCCGAATCAATAAAACTCTCGCAGTTGCAACAAACAACCACGGCGGTTCCCAACGATTTCAACTCTCTAAGTTCGGGTCTTCGTGGGATTTCGATAACTGCAACCCTCCTGATCCTGATGTTGACGTTTCCAAGGTAGCATCCTTATGTTTATTAGCTTGAGAAGAATTGAAAGGGATTTCGATAACTGCAACCCTCCTGATGTTGACGTTTCCAAGGTAGCATCCTTATGTTTATTAGCTTGAGAAGAATTGAAAGGCACTTTTGTTGGCGGGGATTCATCTCAAATCCTTTTCCAAAGGTTATTTCCAGTTCATTCGAATAATTTTGAGTAATGTTGCACCGTTTGTATATCTGTGTCAGAGGCTGCTACTAACACACCGACCCTCACCGACCCTCACCCTCGTGATTACCGATGTTCCGTGCCTCATAGGTATTAGGGTTTATAATTATTGCAAGAATAACAAAAGAACGAGTTTATAATTGAGAGGTTTGTTCTCTTGAGTGGAACTGACCCTCGTGATTACCGGTGTTGATATGATTACCGGTTTATAATTATTGCAAGAATAACAAAAAGAAGTATACCATGAGAGTAGAACCTCTTTTTTTCTATGCTTGTTAAGTACTTTCTTTTATGAATTGTTTTTCACAAAGCCGTGCCTGCTTTTCCGTTAGATCTTCTGCCTTTACATTGCTTCCGTTAGATCTTCTGCCTTTACATTGCTTTTATGAAATGGCTAATCCAGCTAAAAAACTTCATAGATCTCACTTAAGTACTCCACCTACCTTTAAGTCAGTCTGAGGAGGATTTTGGAACTCCTCCAAGAGGGTTTTGTGAAGGAGGATTTTGGAACTCCTCCAAGAGGGTTTTGTGAAGGGTTTTGTGAAGATGTTGACTGGTTTTGTGAAGGGTTTTGTGAAGATGTTGACTCCTCAGAGAAAGGGTTTCAAGAGGTACTTTAGAGTCTCCATACCAAGAACCAATCTGACCATCGGGAGGATGGTTGAAATGTTTCCCAGTCTCCCTTGAGCACTTGAGCAAAATGTCCACTCCCACACCACACCACATTACTCCCACACCACACCACATTATAGCTGCTGCACAACAGAGAACAACATTTCCAAAAACATGCCAGCAAGATATTATAATTACGCATCCTAAACCGTTGTAATACGACAGCAACTTTCTCTATCTGATATCGGGCAGCATCTTTATCTGATATCGGGCGACAGCAACTCTGCCTGCACATCTCTATCTGATATCGGGCGACAGCAACTCTGCCTGCACATCTCTATCTGATATCGGGCGACAGCAACTCTGCCTGCACATCTCTATCTGATATCGGGCGACAGCAACTCTGCCTGCACATCTCTATCTGATATCGGGGTGATAGAGACTTTGTTGTCGTATTACAACGGTTTAGGATGCGTAATTATAATATCTTGCTGGCATGTTTTGGAAAAGCTCCGTGGACATCTTTTGCTCAAGGGAGAAGATCTAACTGGAAAACATTTCAAGAAAACCTTTTTCTGAGGAGCTCCTCAGACTTAAAGGTAGGTGGAGGAGGACTTCAAGTGAGATCTATGAAGTTAACCCCCTCCTCAGACTTAAAGGTAGGTGGAGGAGGACTTCAAGTGAGATCTATGAAGTTAACCCCCTCCTCAGACTTAAAGGTAGGTGGAGGAGGACTTCAAGTGAGATCTATGAAGTTTTTTAGCTGGATTAAAAGTTGGTGGCCATTTCATAAAAACAATGTAAAGGCGAGGATTCCAAGTTACCTGGTTCCTTTTGGAATGACATGGAATCTTTTGTTTTCAGCCCCAAAGGATCACTTTCTGTGTTATTTCGTTCCTTGTTCTAATCTGAGAACTGCTGAAGAAGCAAAAAAATTCTTAAAAGATTATTATTTGGCTAATTTTTAAAAGATTAACTTAGTAATGTTTTGTATCAGGGAGGATTTGGCTCATAAACTACAAAAGCATGGACCCATGACTCTCAAGTCTTTTGCTGCAAATGATATCTTTCAATTGGTGGAACTGTTGATAGCAGTAAAAAAATGGTTGGAGGAGAGCCCCTCACAAGCATTTCCTTTTAGGCTAATTCAATCAGTTTACACGATTTTCAGAAACTGGTATATAATATAGGCTGTTTTCGAATACAATCCTTTGACATCAAAAAGCTTGGTTATCAGAAGATGACATACCTGATACAGATAATACCTGTCTCAGATTATGATTCAGAACTCAGATTATGATTCTTCTGAACCTGAAGGAGATAACTCTGGTTCAACTCAATGGTTCAACTCAATTAGAAGATAAAGTAAGGCCAAAATTGGGTTGGCGCCATACGAGTATCTGCACAAAGGAGTAATAAAAAAAAAAAGAATGTTATACAAGGAAGGGAGGAAGCACAGCAGAGAAAAAGAAAGATATGATGCTATGGAAAAAAATAATTGATAGCATGAATGCATGATCGACTCCACTCAACTAAAGGGAGGCCCGGAATCTTTAACCAATAATTTCAATTCAACCGGGTTCAGACCAAAATGCATACTAAATGACGGGTAAGGTGCATTTAGCTCTATGGCAAATTCACTTCAAAGCATAATTTGTTACAAACCTGAAACACTGCTCAGGATACGCATCCAACCGTTTCTTGAACTTGAGGTAAATTCTATCAGCAGTCAAAGCTTTATCATATTCATACGGTTCCTTTTCCCAGGTTTCTTCACCTTGCAAATTATCCTCAGCAGAATTTCCATTCCCTTTAATAGAAAGTGATGAATAGCTAGAGCATACAGAACTAACATCCCCAGTAGATGGTTCTTCCTGTGTGTATGTATAAAAGCAAGGCACCACTGAAAATAACACCAATTTTAGCACAAACTCGATAATGCCCTAAAATTAATCAAACATTATCCAAAATCATATTTTCAGTACCTGGAATATCGTTATTATTATGATTATCAAGTGAAGCTGTTGTAGAGAAATTGTGTTGTTGGCGCTTCTTCTGTTGATTCTTGCTCTTAGATTTAGAACTAGAAGAAGCCAAATTTCCAGCTTGAATGAGTGCATTAGCCAGTTCTTCAAAACTCATATCTTCTTCACTTTCGTCTTCCGAATTGAGATTTTGAAGATTTAGAACTTCGGTTTGTTGTTCATGTTGAGATGTGTCAATGTCAATAATTTTCTGAAGTCGAAGAACTCGCCAAGAGGTTGCACATTCGGGCGAAACGCAACCGAATATGAAAAGAATGCGATGATGACGATGAGATAGAGGAGCGTAAACTTGTGCAACAAGGGAGAGATTATTGGCGCATGTAGAACATCGAAGCAAATCGGAATTGATGGCGTCTATGGGAATGGGCCAGTCCTGTTAATGTTGTTAAAATTGAAGAGAGAATTAGTTACGGTTACAGTTATAATTATAGAATTAGAGTTTGGATGAGAAAATTGAAGAGATGAATTACCGGGAGGCCTCCGATTTTGGTTGTAAAAGGATCGGATGGTTCGCGATCTTCGTTGGCCCATGGTCCTGGCATTCCTCGCCAAACTTTAGCCATTATAGTGTTGCTGAGGATAAAGCTCAATGTTGTTTTGTAACGCAACGGACAACGGTTACGGTGGAGAGCAGAAGCGGTGGTACATGCACAGACGAACGACGGAGTTTTACGGAGGAGGAGACGGAGCGATGAGGGGGCGGATTCGTAGAAGGAGAGAGTGGCGGCCGCGGGACAGGGGAGATAAGCGGAACCCAACAAGCAGAGAGGTTTAGGTTTGAGGGTAGTGTATTGTATTTCTAACTTAGAGTGAGGGTACTTTCGTATATAAAGTAGTGTCATTAGGCGTGTGAAAAAAAAAATTATTCTTAATTAAATTTGTATTTAAATTGTTTCACTTTTTAAAATTTAAATTAAATTTTAAAATATAAATTTGATAATTTATTTTGTTATTCAAATATAAATCGGTTTTCATTGTTTAATTATTGGGTATCTAAATTTTATTATTTATTAAATTGATATGTTTTTGTTTCTTTTCATGTTTTATCATATACACGATATAAACTAATTTTATATTTTCAAACTATTTTAATGTTAATTTTTTTAAATTTCATAAAAAAAATTCAAAATTTTTTATTTCAAAATGAAAAAAAAATTTGTTTACGAATTCTCTAATTACCTAAAATAGTGTACTAATACTTCACAAATTATATGGACTTTTAGCAGTTAATTATTTAGATCTTAGTGATCGAGTTTGATTTGACATGTGAAAAAAAATATACCAAAATTTAATTTGTTGGATTTGACTCTAGTTTTCATTTATAGATTTCGAAGATCATTAAAGCTTTATGAAAAAAATGATCATAAATATTATAGATTTCTCCACCAATAGATAGAAGTTTTTAAATATACAAATATATGTATTATTAGGGATGGCAACGGGGCGGGTCGGGGGCGGGTTTTACTATACCCGCACCCGCACCCGCTTTCATGTAACACACCCGCCCCCGCCCCCAAACCCGACCGGGGGTAAAAATTTACCACCCAGACCCGCCCCCAGTAGAGAACGGGTGCACCCGCACCCGCCCCGCCCCCACCCGAAATTTTTTTTTTTATTTTTAATTACAATAAAAATTAATAACTTAATTAAAAAAGTAATTATTTTAATAAATAAATTATTTATTTAATTAAAATTTTAATTAGTAAATGAATATTAACTTGATTAATTTATTTATTTTAATTGCAATAAATGTATTAATAATTTAATTAAAAATATAATTAATAAATAAATATTAAAATAAGTAAAATAAGAGAATTAAATTAAAATAAATTATTCGGGGGCGGGGCGGGGCCGGGTGCGGGCGGGTCTTAGTGTCTACCCGCACCCGTACCCGCACCCGTAATTAAAAATCGGATTTTCCCCGCACCCGCACCCGTACCCACTCAAACCGGGTTTTCCCCGCTAATTTCGGGGCGGGTCCGGGCGGGCCCCGACGGGTCTGGGTTTTTTTGCCATGCCTATGTATTATAACATATTAGTAATCATTTTAAGTCCATAATTTGCTAAAAAAAATTATTTTAGAATTTTTTATTTTTAGTTTTATTTTTAATTTTTTAAATATTGTTTATTTTTAGAGTTTTTTTTTAATTATTTTTTAAAATGTTTTTTTTTTAATTTTCAAAGAAAAAATATACTAAAACTTAAATATTTAAATTTAAAAATTGATATAATTTAAAGAAAATTAAATTTAAATTTAACTAAATAATTTGGATTAAAATCAACATTCATAACAAGTGGTTTGGTTTATAAACCATAATCATGAAAATTGATTGGTTTATAAACCATAACCATAAAAATGAATTGGTTCATATTAAATAGTTATCCATGCACACCCCTAGGTATGATAGAAGTTTCTGTGGGTGTGAATAGTTTTTCATTTTTTATTTTAAAAATTAATTTCAATATTAATATTGGAAAATAATGAGAAATTTTTACCCATGTTTCGATGCATTATTATCCAAAATACTTACTTTTCCATCAAATTTCACAAAGTACCCCAATTTCAAAATAAAAGTTATCGAGTTCAATTTTTTCAGTTGTATCTATTTCGGTTCTAATTCGCGTGCTTTTGAAGCGGCCCTTTTTGTTTCTCCTCATGTTTTTGTTGTGGTAAATTATGTTCTCATGATAGGTTGATCAATAGTCATCACTAGCAACCACTTGAAAGTTACTATTGTAGATATCGAATAAGTTCACAGCCTTGAAACTTTCTGCAGTCGCATCAATTTTTATGAATTTTTACCCTGTAATATTCCATTGGTCGACCCTCATTGTGATCCTTTGTCTCGTCAACAATGAAGTTATAATCGTGACGGTCAAATACTCAAACTCGATGTGAGGCCGCTTTAACAGTTTCCTCCTTCATATATTTTATGCAGGTTTCGCTGAATAATTGCCCTGATTCCAAAACAATGCTTCATTTTTTGCCTCTTGTCACAAATAGTGACCTCAGCCTATAATAGGTTGCTCTCACCAACGCATTGATGGGTAGGTTTCTAGTTCCCTTAAATACGCCGTTCAGGGATTCTACAAGGTTTGTGGTCATGTGACCTCATCGGCATCCTCCGTCAAATGCCCTTGTCCACTTTTCCACTAGAATGTTATCCACGCAGTTTAATGCTTATGTGTTTGACAATCTTATTTCTTTGCTGTAATACATGAATGAAGACGGTAAATGGTCCCACAAATCTTAACACTAATGTGTTCGAACAACTTTTAGGGATCGCCACGACTCCTAGAGATTAGAGGGGTCAAAACTGTTAATATCATGGCTCAAAAGAATTTATAGAGCAACATTTTAACCGAAGACTCTCCTAAAATCTTAAAAATAAGAAAAACTAGAATTTATGTCATGTTACTAATAGGTTTATTTTTATGTCCGGATGCAAGTGGTAACGTTGTTCATCCTATGTATTTACCTTTATTAGAGGATATAGATAAAATAAAATATATATAGTTAGGGGTCCGCCACATTATCGTACCTCTATAGGTCTTTGTGTAACAATGCAACAACAAATTCTTCTACTTTTACCGGATGTCTTGTTCTTCTTCAAGCTTGGGGTTAGTTAAGAATGACCAATATAGCGCCTATCAACCACAATAATTACAGATTTCCATACGCAACAAGGTAATTTCTGCACCAGTTCTTTGAAAACAAAATATTCTCTTATTTTATTTATATTATTGATAACAAATGTTTCCTTTCGATTTATATGTGGTTTGTACTTGGGATGAATTATGACAATTGTCCCTATAACAACATCACCCAGTACCGAAATCTTTTGAATCATTTGGGTTCAGATGATGTATCGTCACTAGCCTACCTATTTAAAATAGTGTCACATTTAATACAAACATATTAGTAACATATACTAAACATAACTTTGTCTACTACAGTTTATTTGGCGACCATATCTTGGGTTAGAAGTCATTCATGAAGCTAACCAACAAGACTCTACAGTGTGGAGAGCAAAGGTACTGATTATCAACTTCAATGTAGTGGAAATGCACAACAATAATCGTGTGAAGCTTTAGTTTAGAATGCTACGGGATATTCCAGGTCCGCCAAGATGCATCGCTGACAAATACCACACAAGTAAAGTCTCTAACCAATGGGACTACGCCGGATGGACGTATTCAAAAACTGAGTGTCTTGAATGGAAGCATCGCCGCCATTTTGTCTTGTCCGACATTGTGCTGCCATTCAAGAGAAAACCATATATCCAATACATGAATTGGTATAGATCGGTTACCATTGGTTTCATTTCTCATATACTATATTTGGTTTACCTATGCCAACAAGTCTCATCATCAAGTACCCAACCGCCAACCCAGCCCCTAACCTAACAGCCAACCCAACCCCCACTCACACAACTACAACTTCATGAACATACCTCTTACCAATCCGACCCATTTCAACAGAGTTCCTTCCAATCTCAATACCAACAAACCCAACCACCATACCAATCATACTCCTACGATACTACAAATTAATTTAACATGGAGTATCAAACACCATATCAAATCTTACCCACCTAAACATTTACACTAATGTCACCTTACCACCAAGCCAAATATTGTCCTGACATATCCTCATCAAGCCAACCACCCCAATAAAATTATGAAGGCATGGGCAATCCCTTCAATCTAGATGACTTTACTAACTTAAACTCAACATCATGGGCCCAAATACACGAGTTTCTTAATTTCGAGCCAACACAAACATCGACGACGGCTTCCTATGAAACGCCTCATGTGGACCCGACGCCACTGCAAAGAGCACCCAGAAACACACGACCTCGAGGATGCGGTACCGGCAGACATTAATTTCGATCTAGTCATAAAAATTAAAGTACAATGTTTCGCCTATGTAATCAATTTATTATTAAATGAAATTGTTTATTATTTATTCATTATTATACAATATGTTATTTATTAAATATTAATAAAAAATAGTTCAAAGAAGGTTGTAGAGCTATTGGAGCCCCTCCTAAATTATAAAGGAGGTTGCACCCTTATTGGCGCCCCACTCTTTGGATTTTAAAGATGGAGCCAGTCCTATTTGTGCCTGCTTTCACGAGTTTTTTATTTATTTTAAACTTGGGTACTTTGGAAAATTTGTTGGAAAGGTGGGTAGTTTGGATAACAATACATGGAAGCATGGTTATGTGGGTAAAATTTTTTAATAATGAAGTTGGTTTTAATATTTAATTATTAAATGAGAAATGATATTTTGACACTCATTTGTACACTATAGTGTCAAAGAAGTATTTCTCTTTAGGTAACATGTAAGGACAAGTGGATGAATTTGTTTTGAGTGTTAGGGTTAGCTGCTCAGTATTGCTTTCTCTCTTTCACCAAATGTTTCATTTTCTCTCACTAAACACAATTCCTCTCAAAAATTACAATTAAGCTTTCTCTGTCTCCCACACTCTGTCTCTCTCACAAGACACAGCTCTTTCCTCTCTCAATGACCTAAATCGCAACACTTCTTCCTCTCTCA